AACAGTCTGGATAAACAAAAAAGACTTTTTGACCTTTCTTGATCGGTCACTCATACCAATTCTGTTGGTAATTCTCTTCTAATACAGCTCATTATGAATTAATTATGGACATACTGGTATTTTTCCAAGTCATTTGAACACTTCTACTTTCTATTCATATAAGTATTAGCATTTTCATTTTCATAAATGAAAATAAGGGAACCCATCTTTAACACTATTTTAGAACACATGTAATTTAATTATAATTTAATTTAAGACAATAGGTAATTTCATAACCACATCATGAGTTCCGACATTCCCAAATCTGAATTGGTAAAACACACACTGGATACCAATTAATGATAAAGTGAAAGTAGACCTCCTGATCAAATAATTGAAATAATATGAAATAGGCAAGGTAATATACGCCCACTGGCAGCTTTGATTTTAAATAAAAATATTTGGCAGTACAGTAACTATTACCAGTATGAAATATTGATTACAAACACTCACACCAAGTTTCGTCAAAATCCGTCAAGAAATGTGCCTTCTAGAGTGTTTAATAAAGCTAAAATTGAACGTGCTTTCAATAGCAAGGGCAATAACTCATACTAAATATTTTTCGATTTGTCTGATTTTCAATAGGGTTCATTCTTGGGTGATAACAAACACTCACACCAAGTTTCGTCATAATCCGTCAAGAATTGTCCCTTCTAGAGTGTTTACGAGCTAAAAATTGAACGTGTTTTCAAGAACACAGGCAATAACTCATACAAAATATTTTTCGATTTTTCTGATTTTCAATAGGGTTCATCCTTGGGTGATTACAAACAACCATACCAAGTTTTGTCGAAATCAGTCAAGAATTGTTCCTTGTAGAGTGTTTACAAGCAATTGTGCAATATGTGGGCGTATAAAAATCAGTATGTTCTGAAAGCAATATTTAGTAAATAATATGTACTGGCACTGTTACTTTTTCCAAAGGTGTAATTCATGACATCTAAAATATCTCCACTCTGATCATTAAATAATTTTGACATTCTTCATATATGGAAAGAATTGTAATAAGTAAGCCCGTTATGCAGGCAATAAATAAACGTTTACAGGCTACAGTAAAATTACAAAACGATTTTATGAAACATCCATCATAAAAAAGAATTCTGAAAAGACGTCTATGTTATATAGGCCTATCATAGACCTCAAAGATTGACACTGACGGTATAAAATACTATGAAGACTTCAAGATTTCGTTTTTTGGTAAAAGTAGGGCTTTCACCTATATACCCTTAAATTTTTACACCTATACACCCTACATTTCATTCATCAAATACACCTTCAATCAATTCCTACATTCCATCAAAAAAGCATATTAAAAATACCCTTATATAAAATAACATCCGGTTTTTAATTGTAGACCACAATTTCTTCGTTAAATTAATTCATTTAAAAATAGGATGAGTTTAATTCTAAAACACGAACAACACAGATTCGAAGATAATTCGGGCGACGGTATCTTTTCATCAATATTTTCTCTAGGCAAAACAATAATTCCAAAAGTTGCTAGCTTTGCTTCAAACAACAAATCACTTATTTCAACCGGTGCTAAAGCCGTCGGCTCAATCGCGCAAGCGGGAAAGAGTATAAGCGACGCAGTGAAAAAGTCTGACGAGTTGAAAGAATTACAACTAATAAGAGAACTGCATAACAGGAGATTAAAAGAAAGGAAAGGAAAAGGTTTTAAAGTTATAGGATAAAAATGATATACAAATATCATTGGGGTCTCTTCCTGGTTTTCCATGGGCGAAATATCCCGGAGAAAAACATCTTCCCGTTCATAATTCCCGGTACGAGGTTAGATCTGCGATTAGACGAAAACGATAAACCCAAATCGGGTGAAGAACCAGTCAATAGAGTTGACGCCGCTGCGCTAAAACACGACATACTATACAGAAACAAAGACATAAACCTCAGACACGAAGCAGACAGACAAATGATAATCGAACTTGAAAATATTCCAAATCCAACTTTCAAAGAGAGAATGCAAAGGGCTCTGATCATTAAACTCTTGAAAGCAAAGATGAAATTGGGCATGGGATTAGCGGATGAAATTCATAAAGAATTTAGAAAAACTAAAAACTTTTTAAAAGTCAAAGTGTTTGAAAAAGATGAAATATGGTCAGCCGATTTAATTAATATGCCAGTCGAAAGAGGATTTAAATATTGCTTAACAGTTATAGATTTGTATACGAGATATGCTTGGGTTATTCCTTTGAAAAAAAAAACAGTATTATCAGTCAAACACGCATTTCAAACGATTATGAAACAATCTAACCGACATCCAGAAAAACTATGGGTAGATAAAGGAAGTGAATTTTATAACAAAAATATGAAATCTCTGGGATTTGAAATTTACAGTACGCATAATGAAGGTAAAGCTGTAGTTATTAAGAGATATAATAGGACTCTAAAAAATAAATTATTCAAAAAGTTCACGGAATTGAAATTTCAAAAATATTACCAGAGGTTGTAGATGAATACAATAACAAAATTCATTCATCTATAGGTGTCACACCAACACAAGCCTCGAGTAATCCAAATATTATAAAGTCAACGCACAACATAACTATGAAAATGAAATAAAGAATTTAAATATTAAACCCAAATTTAAAGTCGGAGATCGGAGATTCGTATTTTCAAATATAAAAGCAAATTCGAAAAAGGTTACGTTGGATACTGGACAAACGAAATATTCATCGTTGATAAAGTAAACACCACATCACCTCTGACATATGAATTAATCGATCAAGACAAAGAACAAATCATAGGTAGGTTTTATCAAAACGAACTTCAAAAAACCGACTTTTAAAAATGAATATCTTTCTCGATAAATATGGAACTGATACAACCACAAACTTTCAACTTATGAGATGAGCAAATGAGTTAAATATATCACCATTTTATTATTGTATGAGAGATGAAATAAATGATCTCAAAAATAAGAAAGGTAAATTTTACGCTATAACAAATATACATACTTCCGATCAAAAAGGAGTTCATCATTCTGCTTTGTACAAAAACTCTTCAAATGACTTATATTTCTTCGAATCTTATGGATTAGAACCCACTGAAGAGAAAGTGCAATTGACTAATAAACCAATCAAATGTTCAACATTTCAAATTCAATTACCGGGGCAAAAGTTTTGTGGACAGCTTTCAACTGGTTTTATATCAGTTGAGTTTGGGAAAACAGTTTGAAGAAATTATAATAAATTTAACTTACTTAATGAAAATGGCGAACAAGTTTGGATTAGGTTCTTTATCTTTAGAAACTTAAAAACCGAACACTACAGCGTGGATAAAAAAAGCGAAACCTTACTTTGTGGATCAAATCGGAGACACTCTTCTTCAAGGTGATTTAGATATGAACAATTTCAAAGTAACTAATTTAAAATCTCCGGAAAAGGATAATGACGCTGTTCACAAGAAATATTTACGGGATCAAATAAATTCAATTGAAGTAAATAAAAACCATTTAGAAGATAAAATAAGTAATGTGAAAAGATTCTTCAAACGTCAACTAAATAATAAAAATTTTGTTAATGATACTAAACTACAACAAGAGGTAGCAGGTTTAATAAGTTTTATTCAAAAAGAATTGGTCAACGTAGTGAATAAAACTGAGTTACAAAATTTAACTTCATTAATATCTAAATTAGAGGATAAGATTGCAAAACAAAAATTAGACATTCAACAATTAATAGATAACATTCCAGATGAAAATGAAGATACGTTTCAACAGGAATTAAATGATCTGGAAACTAAACTTAACAGTGAATTACAAAAAGAACTAAGAAATATTAAACAACAAATACAAAACATAGATGATAGCGAAATCAAAACCTAGATTCAACAACAAATACAAAATATTGATGATAGTGTTATTCAACAACAGATAACCACAATTAATAACGAAGTTTTGAAACAAGAAAAAAATATAGCCGCATTAGAAAAGAATCTCAAGAAAGAATATAAATCATATTATTTTAGTCTTCCATTTGCAAATTTGATTGAAAAAGGTGCTTCTGTTACTACTTTAATTGATAAATCAGAACAGTTTGAATATGAAAAATATGGATTTAAAGTAAATATAAGAATATATTCTTTTCCAGAATATATTTACCCCCATGCCATGTTTCATGGTAATCATCCATCAGCTTTTACTTTCCGAGGAAAAATTATAATTGAAATTATTTTTCCTATACAGGTAAAAGTTGATTCAATATTCTTCAGACAAAACTCTATATCTATTAATCAATTTAACGCTCGTAAAGTTCTTCAGTTTATCAATGGTAGAGACAATGTAGAAACTAAAGAATTTGAAATTAACGACGAAAACAACAAGGTTAATCACTTATATGAAATTAAAACGAGTGGAAAATATATAGATAGGTTTAGAATGTTAATCATACCAGATAATGAAGATGATTATCTTTCATTGAGTGAATTTAATATGTTATTGGAAACGGAAACTCCACCATCAATGAGGATTATTAGAAATCCAGAACCAGAAAAAAAAGATGTAAGCGATTATGAGTTTTTACGAGCAACAGACTTTGAATACGTAAAACTATATTTTGTTGATAATGGTATATTTACCTCAATTGATATTCATAAAAGTCAACAAAATATAGTTTTTATTATACCAACAATAAGAGATCATGAGCTATATGTTTATATAACAGTTTCTATTGAAAAACCAAAATTTTCAGTTCATCTGAATAAGATTAATGATTCGAAAGAACAAATATCGTTAGTATCTCTAGAAGTTACTATTGATAAAAGTAAAGACGTAGCAGATTTTGGTTTATCAGAAATTCATTTAATTTAATTACCTTAAAAATGGAACTTGAAAGCAGACAAAACTACATGATAGAAAAACAAAATGAACTAAAAGAAAAACTAAAACAATTCAACAAATGCAGAAAAACATAGAGTAGAATTGATTCTGTTTTCAAAACCTTAAGTACAGTTCTAACAGTAGGGATAACGGTGGCAACAGCCGTAACCGGTGGATTAATGCTTCCAATAATTGTCCCAACTGTATTAGCCGCGTTCACTGCCGTTCAAATTTCATCTAGTGGATTGATTACTTTAGGTTTTACATCAAAACAGAAATCTCATTATAAAAAGAAAACAGAACCATTGAAGAATTAGAAAAATTCAATGAAATTTTAGATAAATTTGATATACAAATATCATCAATAAAAGTTAAAAATTGATACTTAAAAGAGAAAATGGATAAAATTGAAATTTCAGACGATGAAACATTCATATCAAATGAACTTTTTTTAAGTGATATTAAGGTTTTCTCTGATAAATTTAAAGGACAAATTGAACTAAACTAGTGTCCAAAAGAAACGATACCAACTTATTTTCAAAATTGTTTTTTACTAAGTGAATTGTCTAATATGAAAACATGCCAATTCGTATTGCACATCCCAAACACAGCATAGTCGATAAAAATACCGGGAACACGTGATCACTTCCGGGAAAAAACGTAAATTTCGTGAAAGTGACATTTCCCTCTCTAGCATGTTCTGCACGTGCATAAAAACTGTATAAAACGGCTGATCAGACACGTTGATATCACAGCAACAAAAAGAACACAAGATATGCCACGTTTGACAGCCATCGAGAGAGAGAGAGAGCCGTTGGAATGGTCCAACAAGGAGCGACACATGTCGACATCGCCAGAAGGTTGGGCTGCGCACGCATCACTATCACCAGGTTGATGCAGCGGTTACGTCAGACGTCAGACAGGCCCAGGAGTGGAAGACCATGAGTAACCACGCCCCTTGAAGATCGTTATATCCGGGTATTACACCTGAGGAACCGCACCGTAACAGCGACGTCCACGGCGGCTACAGCACTGGGACACAGGATCTGTCGACAGACCGTCTACAGGAGACTACGGCAGTATGGTATCCAGCCACGTCATCCCTACCGCGGACCGCTCCTGACGCCTCGACACCGGAACAACAGACTGATCTGGGCCAGACGAGTTCGACGTTGGCAACGGCGGGTCTGGGCACGTGTTATGTTCTCTGATGAGAGCGGATTCCTCATCTTCAAAAACGATGGACGGCAGCTTGTATACCAACGATTTGGTGAACGTTTGGCGCCTAACTGTATCCAATAGGTCCGGCCGTTTGGAGGTGGAGGGATAATGGTTTGGGGTGGCATATGTGGTGACGTCAAAACGAGGCTTGTCGTAATTCGTGGAAACCTGAATGCACAGCGTTATATTGATGACATCCTACGGCCTGTTGTGGTGCCCTTTATTCAGCAACAGCCTCGTGGACTCCTTTTCCAACATGACAATGCAAGGCCACACACAGCAAGATTGACACAGAACTTCCTTGCCAACGCCAACGTACAGGTTTTGCCGTGGCCCGCATGTTCGCGGACATGAATCCCATCGAGCACTTATGGGACCACCTCGATCGGCAAATCCGACGTTGCCATGTGCCTCCAGTCAACGTCCGAGGAATGGCAACGCATCACTCCCAACGACATCAGACATTTGACGGCATCAGTCCGTAGGCGTGTTCTGGCATGTATTGATGCTCACGGTGGACATACCCGCTACTGACTTGACTTTGTGACGTGTGGTGTGACATTTCCCGTTGTTTCTGTGATCAGTGCTCTAACATAATGTTCTTTTTTCGACCCCACCCATCTTTAAAGGCTTGTCATATTGGTTGTACAGATTTTATTGAAATGAAATTTTTGTACAGATGTTGAAAAAGGATTTCTCAAAAGCACAACACCAATCCTAAACTTCTGCATTGTTTAGTTTTTCTTTTATGTCGTTGCAAACAGGTGGTATCGTTTCTTTTGGACACTAGTTTAGATGGGGAGATAATTAAATACGGAAAACACAAACAAAACATGAAATTTATAGGCTTTAATGCCAAAACTTTTCACAATTTCTTCGCAACTGTGGATAATAAATCGAATGCTTCTGATTGGTATTTCTCAGGGAAAATCATTTTACGTAAAAACAATTTCAAAGAAATAAAAAGATCAAAAAAGGGTAGTGGTGTTACCCTACTTAAAAATTGTTTCATACCCAGCGAAGGATACTGCTTTGTGCGTAAATCACATCATGAACATAGATATAACAAAAGAATTTAACAGTTTTCCAAAATCAAACAGAAAAGGAGTTGTAGAGATGATAATGCGGTAACGCAAGTTTCACCTCTAAAACTAAATGCTTTTCCAACAATTCACGATGATTGTTTATACGCATGGGATTGCGAAACCTATAGCGAAAAACAAACGAATAAAGCAATTCCTTATTCCTGCACTTTAGTTAATTTAGAAAAACTAAGGAAAATGTTAGATGATGATGTAAATCATCTCTTTCCAGATTTAAAGCCAACTGATCCCATTCCAGAAGAATTTTACAATAAATTAATGAAAATAGTAGAAATATTTGTGGGTAAAGATTGCATCGATCAAATGTAACAATGCTAGATCAAAAAAGAATAACATTAATTTTTCATAACGGTAGCGGTTTCGATAACTGGATCGTGCTTAAAAATGTGAAGAAACTAACGCAATGTCCACTAGTAACAGCTAGAGGCATTCTGTCTCTACCTTTGACTAATTCATTCACCGATGAATATTTACAGAAAAAAATGGAAAAGACAAAAAAAAATAATGGGCAATTCTAATTATTTGCAAAATATTAATTTCATATGTTCCTATCAACATGAAAAATCTAGTTTGGCGGCATGGGGAAATTCAAATAATCTACCGATGAATTTGAGAAAGATCACCGATATCAATATTGCAAAATACACCGAAGATAATTGGGAATCTTTAAGACTCGAATGGGAACCTTACGCTAAAAGAGATACGTTATGTCTCGGAGCTTGTTTGATAAAATATAACAAAGTTATGAAAGAAGTTGTATTCCAGAATGTTTCCAATAATCTAACGGCTCCTTCTTTATCTTTAAAGGGTTGGTATTATTTATATCATTACCGTAAAGAAATGGTTGAAGAAGAATGGTATGAAAGTACTAGAATGGTTCCGAAACACACCGAAAAAGAAAACGTAGAAAAAGTTTACTCACATACACACCCTTTTATAAGATATTTTATCAGACAATCCATTAAAGGAGGAAGAGTTTCGGCAAATCGAAAATCATTTGAAACGAATAAAATGGATGAAATTTGTAATATATTAAAGGAATACACAGAAACACCAAGTGATAACATAATTGATTTATTCAAAGAATACAGCACTAGCACAAAAGATAAAATGGAAGTTCATTCGAGACTTAAAAAAATAAAATGTACTAAACTAATTGCCTTTGATGCTAACGGTTTGTACGCTTCCGCCATGTCGGATTTGGATAGCGAATATCCTAAAGCAGAAAGTGGTAGACCGTTTCTAAAGGAAGAAGAAAAAGAATTTGTAAAACTCTTTAATGAGCAGAAATTTAGACCTAGAACGGCTATTTTAAAAGTCTGGTTTAAATATCCTACCAACATGTTCTTCCAACCCATACCAGCTAAAGATAAAATTACTTTTACGAACAAAGAAGGTAATAAGGAAACTGGCACTAAGATCAGATTCAGAAATGGTTTCTGTTCAGAAGTTTTAACATCGGTCGATATTCAAGAAATAGTTAAAGCCGGTGGACGAATAGTCAAGATAAAAGATGGTATAGTATACGAAGAAAATTTTAAAACTCCACCATACAGAGATTATATTTTAATTTTGAGAGATCTAAGAAATAAATATAAATGAGAAGGCAATATCATAGGTAGTAATTGCATGAAATTATTAGGTAATTCGTTGTATGGTAAATCTATTCAGAAGGATATAACTACATCGAGACATTTATGGAGTGAAGCGACTTTAAAAGCCAACTTCGATTCACACGTTAAAAGCTTTCCTATTTCGTTGAGATAAATGAAGAAGAAAAAGAATTTGACTGTACACCTCCTAAATCTACACGACTAACACCTAGTCATTTGGGATCATTCGTATTATCTCACAGTAAAAAAAATAATGAATAATTTTATTCACGTATTAGATGGATTTTATAAGCCGGAAATATACTATACAGATACTGATAGTTTATACATTTTTTCTAAAAATTGGGATAAATTACATAAAGCAGGGTTGGTGTCCGAAAATGATTATTGTAAAGGAAAGAATGATTACGGTGATGGTGGAATCATATTTGGTTTATATTTAGCGCCGAAAGTCAAATAAAATATCATTCTAACTTCTGATGGTGTTTTAAAAGAAAAGAAAACGTTTAAGGGTTACTCTAATGATAAGATAAGTGTAGAAGATTATATTCGATTAGCTAGTGGACATGACGTAACAAATGAATTTAAGAAACCATGGGAAAAGAGTTTCACCAATGGAGTAGTTATTCCTAATGAAAAACAAAAGAAAGTTTTTAGAAGTTATCTAAATCTCGTTAAGAGAAAAGCACCAAACAGTGAAGGAATTATGAATCCTTACAACAATAAAGATGAGATGTGTTTGGATGAAAACTACTAATTTGATGATTTCGATTATCTTACTATTCAAGAAGAGAATGAAGTGTGTTAATTTTTTTGTTTTAAATGAAGTTGAATAACAATTTCCTCGTTACCAAAATCTATAAACCTATTTTTACCATCTTTGATTTCCAGATTTAAACTAGTGTCCAAAAGAAACGATATCACCTGTTTGCAACGAAATAAAAGAAAAACTAAACAATGCAGAAGTTTAGGATTGGTGTTATGCTTTTGAGAAATCCTTTCTCAACATCTGTACAAAAATTTCATTTCAATAAAATCTGTACAACCAATATGACAAGCCTTTAAAGATGGGTGGGGTCGAAAAAAGAACATTTCGTTAGAGCACTGATCACAGAAACAACGGCAAATGTCACACCACACGTCACAAAGTCAAGTCAGTAGCGGGTATGTCCACCGTGAGCATCAATACATGCCAGAACACGCCTATGGACTGATGCCGTCAAACGTACGATGACGTTGGGAGTGATGCGTTGCCATTCCTCGAGGAGAT